CTTCAGTCAGTGAGGAAATATCCATGTCGCCACTGTGAGCAATCGTTCAACTCTGCCACCAGTCTGAGGAGACACATTCGCAGCGAACATGACGGCAAAAGAAGAATCTATTCCTGTTGGTAAGTTAGACACTCTTCTCTCTGATTAATTCCGTTTTACAGAAAGTAATTACAACACTACCATCCCTATTGTTTAGGTACTGCACAGAGCCGAAGACGACTTTCACAACAAGCGTGATGTTGAAGAACCACATAAGTCTCATGCATGGTATTAAAAACCCAGATCTGAGCCAGATGCCGAAATCGTCCATCACAGAACCTAAAAACCCTTCAGGAAAGGTGGGTTTAGTGCAGCTTTGGCTTTATTTTCTGCTCGCAGACAAATGTTTGAAAATGTAAAGAAACGGTAGTCTTGAAATCAAGATTTGATTTATTAAATTAGTCATTATGGCCTGATTGGAAAAAGGGATTGGCTCACGTAACCAATAAGTTGTTGTATCAAAAGCTGTCAGTAAGCGTTTTCTGTAACTGGAGGTTCTGCTTTGCAGAATAAAGTCACAAGGAGAATAGTCATAAAATTGCGAGAATAAAGTTGTATCATTATGAGAATAAAGTCGTAAAATTACGAGAATAAAGTCGTAAAATTACGAGAATAAAGTCGTATCACTACGACAATACAGTAAAAATATTATGAAAATAAAGTCACCATGAGAATAGCAATAAAATTAAGGAAATAAAGTCATAATATTAAGAGAATGAAGTCCAAAAATTACTAGAATAAAGTTGTAAACTCTTACAAGAAGCACTGTCTTTCCTAAAATGAGGAATGTCGAGCATCATATGAAGTTATACTTTGGCTCTGGTTTGACAAATAAGGAAATCTTTTAGCACACCAGCATCAAATTGGGCAGTAGGTCAAAGTGGACTCAAAGGTTTCTTTCTAAAACCGGCTGTGTTATGATGACTTCATTCTCATAATACTACGACTTTATTCTCGTAATGTTATGACTATATTCTCGTAACATTACAACTTTATTCTCGTAATGTTACGACTTTATTCTCGTAACATTACAACTTTATTCTCGTAACATTACAACTTTATTCTCGTAATGTTACAACTTTATTCTCGTAACATTACAACTTTATTCTCGTAACATTACAACTTTATTCTCGTAATTTTATGACTATACTCTTGTAATATTACGACTTCATTCTCAAAATACAAAAAATAAAAAAATCTCTAGCCTTGCCCTAATACTCCGTGGTAATCAAATTTTTGGGGGGAAGTGAGAGGCGGGGCATTTCGTCTCTCTTATGGCAAAAGGCAAAGGCAAATTTATTTGTATAGCACAGTTTAGTACAAAGACAATGCAAAGTGCTTTACATGATTAAAATATAGAAAAATAAAACAGAATCAAAGCAAGTAAGGAAAAAAAGCCCACAAAAAAAAGAGGAGTCATCATCTTGTCAGTCTCCCATGGGTACTTGTGCCCGGTGGTTTTCTTGTTGATTCATAAATGTTTAACGCACCTGAGGCAAGTGAGGGCTCCAGTGCTTTCAGTTCGTCCTGAATTAATTGTTGGCTCAGTCTTGGAGGACTTCAACCACTGGTCTTTGATTTCTTTATTTCTGCGTTGTGATTGTGTCTCACTGAGGTCCAGAATTTATACTTTTAGATGTGGTTAAAAACAGTTGGTTCATGATTTAACAAGATCCATTTTAGTTAGGATTGCTTGTAGAGTTGGGTGATAAATCAATTTTATTGAATCAATCATATTTGAAAGCAAAAAGTTGCTGCTAAGCTGCTGCTCAAAAAAAAATAATTCAGTTGGAAAGCCATTATAAACGAAAATTCTTTTTCTTTACATTGTATATAAAACGACAATAAAATGTGTCTACCTCGTTTTTAAGCCATATAACTCAGTTAAATGCTTTTAAATATATACGTTTATCTAAAAATGAAGCAAAACCAAATAAATGATGGAATTGCAAACACTAACATTTACTGAATTTGGTTTGTGTAAAAAAGAAGAAAAGCGTTTGTTGGTCGGTATTCTAATGGAACATGTAGTGATCACTGCTTTAAAGGTTTGTTTCTGTGATTTTTTTTTTCAGGGGATAATATCAGCTGTGAGGAGCCTGCAGGCTGACAGCCAGGGTCGCAGTGATCTCGCTGCTCCGTCCGCTAAACGTCTTAAAATGCAGCACCGCTGCTCAAAGTGCGGCTTCGTCACACAGGACAGTACAGAGTTCCAGCAGCATATACCTCAGCATAAAACGGATGAAAACACTCCTCAGTGCCTTCACTGCGGCCTGTGTTTCACATCCATGTTTTCTCTTAATAGACATCTATTTATTGTGCACAAAGTCAAAGATCCCAAGATAAATGAAGAAGAGGAGGAGGAGAGAAATGACGGAGAAACGGATGAGGACGGTCGATCAGATAGATCAGCAGCAGCTGATCAGGTAAATGACTTGAAATCACTGCAGGATGAAGAATCAGAAAATTCAAAGCACGTCAAGACTACAAACAGTCATTTAAAATCAAACACTCGCTCCCAGACAGAAGCAGCTTCTCTCCATCAGTGAGGATTACATATGCTCCAGAAAAAGCTGCTTTTTTGTCACGTCTTTTTTTTTTTTTTTTTTTTTTTAATGGAGTCGAACCAAATTTGTGCTCCAGCGTCAGCTTGACGCACGACCTGCGCCCTGTAACTCCCTTAAAGCTCGACGGGCACCTTTCCTGACAAATATCTCTACGCCGTAGCAACACGTATTAACAACTGCTTTTGGTCCAGGTGGCGTGTGTTTACATGGATCATTGCTTTGCTCACAAGTAACCCTAATGTGGATCAACAGCATAAAATGTAACAGGCTGTAACTGAGTCAGTTTGCTTACCAGTTTGGCTTTGTTTATTTTAAGCTCCTAACTGCTCCACCAGTCTGTGCTAGTATTCATTTCAATAGTTTTGCACATTTTCTTCTAATATCTTTTCAGGTTTGAGTTTCATTTCTTTTCTTTAGAGGGACTTTGTTTATATTGCTTTCCATACCCTTATTTTGTGCGTTTTTATAATAGAATGCCTTCCTAGTTTGTCCACTTAATTTCTTGTCCATTGAAAGATTAAAAAGTGCTCCACCCTTCTACACATCGATCTGATGCTGAGGTATTAATTTGGCTCACAGGAATTAGATTATATTAATGCATGCGGTATAAACATTTGGGGCCTTTTTTATGTTATTTTAAAAAATGCAGTATATTTAAGAAAATGTTTTTTTTTTTTTTATATGAAGGACAGTATTGTCATTTTTCACTCAAGCAAATTTACTTTGCATGTTAGTAACATGTTAATCTTTCACATTCATCTACCCTCATCTTTATTTCCTTTTAAAGTTTTTTAAAAGCTGATCTGAACAGGCTCCTCAGGAATATAGTTTGGGTATAAGTCAAGTGATGATGGTTTATATGAAGCTCTGAGTTTTCACCAACAGTTGTCTAGTTATGAGCTTAAGTTTTAAAAGCCACAAGAAGGTTAGATTTTTGTATTCTAACATTTTTTTTTACAAGACTTTATAGTTTAATAGTACTTTTATTGCTGCAATCACATATTTTTGATAAAGAAGAATAATTCTTTAAGACCATAAACAGGTGTACATTAAAGCTTATTAAAGTAAACTTGATTAATTACAGCATTTTCAAGCAGCTAGAAATCAGAATGGATAATTCTACATAATGCAGTTCTAACTTATCAGCATTTCAAATATGAAAAAAAAAAAAATCACCCTTTTCCACTTTGATTCATTAAATGCATCAAATAATACCTCACTATTTAGCTCCAGAAAATATATCAACCAATTGTATGCATTTTGATGCACTTTTTTAGGTCACGTAATTGTTATCTAATGGTTAAGGACACATGCATTCCTCATCTACCTTTGTGTAAATAAGGATTATCTTGTGATTCATTTAATTTTTGATCCAAGCTACTCACTTAATGGAGTATTTGTTTCTCTTTCATTTTCTGTTATTGTTCCAAAAAAGAAAAAAAAAAATCTAAATTGTGAGGATCAGTATTGACCTGATCGATGCATCATATTCATCATGTTGAAATATGTGGTTTTTCATCCCAGATTGTGTTTTTTTTTTAAGTGGGGGTGGTATTTTGTGTGTGTAAGGGTTGGACATGGAGGCATTACAGTTTTGCTGCGGAAGTATTGAAAATACCTCAAAATCACCAGAAGTGTAATTTTTCCAGCAAACAAATGTGATTGTTGTTTGGAATCAGGGTACTTGATTTATGTGGTTTTGGATAATCCCGAAAAGATGTTAGAGCGAACTTCGGCGGCGCATCTAGGATACTGTTTTATAAATCCCAACCTGGGGACACGATGGGATGCAGAATCATTTCAGGGGATAAAGAACTCATGGATCAGCGGTTATGAAGGATGTTTATCTGCAGGTTTTGATTTGTACGGCAGTACTTCTTGTTTTTGTGTCGTCCCCGTGACGGTTCCTACCTCTACAGGAAATGGCAATGATTGTTAAATGTCCACAGGCTTTGAGAGGTTGAAGTTAAATCTCAGTGCAATGTTAGCAGTTATTTTATAAAACTTGCATTCTCCCATGTTTTTAAATGTTATTAATTATTCTGGGAATATTTAGGTTTAATGGTCATATTGACTTAATAAACGAGTGAATTTTTTTCTATTAAAGTGCTCAGAATCTCACTGCAGCAGGTTACCTGTTCACAACTTACCTTTTTATAACATTCTGTAAAACACATTTGTATTTTTGATACAGCCTACAAAAAGGAATTTTAAAAAGTGTATATAATGAAACCTGGAATCCACAGCATCCTTTAAGCCATTACATCTGTTCAGCATGCAGTGGCCTGCGTCCCTCACTGTTACGTTTACAGGAATTACAAATAAACAGGTGCATTTAATGAAACACCTGGTCGCCTCTGTGTTTTTGTTACCTTACATTTCTCTACTGGGGTGATGCTGGTATTTAAAAATGACAGCTAATGTTTTTCCAGTGATGTCACAACTCGCTCAAGTCACCTAAATGAGGACTATGCAACCAATAAGCAACAACCACCAGAAGATGACCTAATGCTATTAGAGAACTAAGCCCAGCCCATCCATGTATAAAACACTGCTCTCATATTGGAAGAACTGCAAAGATTTTAAATAAGCTGGAAAATAAAGAGAGAAGCAGTATGAAAAAGATCTGCAGAGGAGGATTTGTGTCTTCTCTCATCCTAATCTCGTATATCGCTCTGGCAACTTCAGTGATGCTCGATTTAACTGAACTGAAAAATAAAATTTCCAAGCTCAAGGTGAATCCCAGAGGAAATCTTTGGGCAACAGGTAAGAAATATTGAAACTGCTAAATATATATATTTTTTCTTTATCTGTTTTTCTATAAGATGGTTCTGTATATTTTTTATTTTGTGAATTTAGGGCATTTCATGGGAAAGAAGAGTGTGGATAGCTCCTTTCTGGAGACTGTCTTTGAAGACATAAACGCTCCATCTGAAGGCAGAGATGCGAGTCCTGTGGCCGGAGCAGATTTTCAGGCACTGATCACCAAGATGTTGAGAGGCGCACAACCAACAAGAAGACAGACTCTGGACATGTTAGTTTAATCTTATTTTATTTTATTAAGATCATGTACTGAATATCATAGTATTTTGATTAATATTTTCTGGTGTTTTGGAAGATTTTGATGATTATTTTATCTTTTATTTTGTTACTAGTATAATCATGTCACAATTATTTCATTGTTTATTATTATTTATCATCTCTAGTCTTATTTTTTATCATAACTGTTATTTTTATTTGCAAGAGTTCCCTTTTATTATGCCTTAAATTTAAGTTTTTACTGTATCTTTATATATAAAAATGATTGTACTACCACTATAATGATCATATCACTTCATTTTGGTTGTTTTTTTGTATTTGTATAATTGTTTATTAGAGGTAGTAGCAGTATTTTCTTATTTTGAATTTTTTTTTCTTCAAATTGGTATTGATATGTACTTATTACAGTTATTTTATTGGTGTAATTACCGTAAGCGTTTCTTGTATCGTTACATCTCATGTTCTATTTTTTTTATGTAGAGAGAGAGGAGATCCAGCTTGAAGGCCAGCCTCTATCAAGCACCAACGGATTGATCAGATTTATTATTTTTGTCATTAAAAAAAGGCTGTAATATAACCACTATTTATTTTATGTGATATATATTGTGTTCATTTTGTCCAAAAAATAATAAATATCCCTTCCTCATTTATAACATGGATGATTTCTGTCATTTAAATAAAAAGAGCAAATAAATTATATATATGATTGTGTTTTATTTCCATTTTGCGCCTGAATGATGGAACTGGGATTTTCTGTGTTTTGGCGCCCCCTGTCGGTGTGCCTGCCGCTTTTCATTTCCGGGTGAAAGAGCGTGAGCCGCAACGTGCTGGTGTCTGATAAACAGCAGCTATGCCGCTGGTGGTAATGTGCGGATACCCTTGTAGCGGTAAAACAAGAAGAGCAGAAGAACTGAAGGCGCATTTTGAAAAGAGCACAGACCGACAGGTTTACAGTGTTGGAGACGGAGCGCTGGGCCTGGATAGGAACTCTGTTTACGCAGGCAAGTGGCGCTCCCTCCCATTCACTGCTGCTGCTCGCTTTTACTGTACTTTCCGACCTCATTTCTAATCGCCTTAAACGTTATTAACTGTAAGAACTTCATACTTTGGCTCGTTTCCTCTCCTGAGCGATTTTTTTTTATCCAATAACAGGATACTGTGCCATATGTAAACACTTGATCGAGTGTTTTCCTTTTATTTTTTAATCTCCTCCCAGACGGGGAGAAAACTTCCTCCCTTAATCCCATAATTATAAATTAAAGTAATAAAAAAAAGTTTGTTGCATAAACTCAAAGGAATTAATCAGATTTCCTAAATAGGGTGTAGATTTAAGTTTCTAGATTATTTTTGGTCTCATCGGTTCATTTCTACCAATGTGTTTAATACGTTCATTATTAATTCATTAAAATAATGAATGTGTTCAATACACTTATTATTTTATCAGGATTCAGGTTTAAAAAAAAATTTTTTTTATCCTAAATAGCATTTTTTTTTCTTTTTTAAATTAAAAGATGGAAAAGAAGGTCTACCTACTAACTGCACTCATATAAAGAAAATAGGAAAAACCTTCAAGGCACAGCTTACAGTACTTTTAAATATGATGTTTGCATGGTTACTGTGGCTGCTAAAAATTAAAAAACTAAAAGCAGCTGTAGGAGTTAATAAAACGCAAAATTGGCTGGCTTTAGTCACACTTTTTCAGCTCTTTTGGAAATATTTTGTGTTTTTTTTTTCTTCATAGCAAATAAGTTTATCTTTTTTGTTTCTCAATATTTAGGTCGGTTGATTACAGATATCATTTTAATTAACACATTAAATACAAATACACACATTTCATAAAGCAGCATCCTTTAACCCAATTGTATTATTTAACTCTTGGCTGTTTGTTGTTGTTTTTTTTCTTTTTATGTCCAGCAAATAGGTCAAATAATATCTAGGAAAAAGTATTAAACTAATTACTTTTTGCCTTTACCTGAATAGATGGTTGAGTACATTTGGTTATTAATTGTTAAAAAGGGATGTAACTTTATATTAAAGATTTGTAAATTGTTGTAAATGTATATAAGGCAAACTTAATGATCTGTTGCAGATTCCCAAAAGGAGAAAGAGGCCAGAGCATCTCTGAAAGCTGAAGTAGAGAGGTAGGATCACCACCACATCCAGGTTATTACATTTAGACAGAAAATCCCATTTTACCGGCTTTTTTTCTTTTTCAGAAAAGTAAACAAGGACAACATTGTAATCTTGGACTCATTAAATTACATCAAAGGTACCTGCTAACAGCTGCATGTTGATTAGTGGTTTAAACCCTGGGGTAACTTCATTCATTAAATATCACACAGGTTACCGCTATGAGCTGTTCTGCCTGACCAAGCACACCCAGACACCTCACTGCCTGGTAAGTATGAAGGGAAAACAATAATCCAAATCTGTTTGGATTATTCTGACAAATGTTGACTGATCTTTGGTGTGTTTTGATGAAGGTACACTGTTTGACATCGGGGGAGGAAAGCTCGCTGTGGAACAGAAATAGAGAATCTGCAGAGCAATACAGCCAGGACATGTGGGTTAGATTGTTTTAGCTTGATTTAAACCCTTTTGATGGTAAATCTGTTCAATTAAAGTTACATTTCCTTTTGTTTTAAAGATTTGACGCATTAGTTAAAAGGTTTGAAGCACCAGACTCCAGGAACAGATGGGACAGCCCTCTTTTCACAGTCCTCAAAGATGACGTACTACCTCTAGACGCCATTTCTGATGCACTTTTTAAAAGGAAAGCCCCCCCACCAAACCAGTCTACCCAAAGTGTAAGGAGATTTCCAAAAGCCGTGTTCTGTGCAATAATTAGTTTACTGTTAAACGATTGTCTAAAAGTAACAATGCACGTTTCCTTTCCTTTTCACCACAGCAACCCCTCTCCTCAACAAACTTCCTGTACGAATTGGACAAAACCACTCAGGATATCTTAATGGTGAGCCCTCCTGTAGGGTTTGATTTCTTTTTCAGTCTGATATTTTCTTGCACTCACTTCCTCTGTGATTGTTAATGGAAAATATGACAGCTGTCCATTTGTTGTTTTTGTTCCCAGAGAGGTAAGACAAGGTTTCCTCCATTAGTTTGTTTCTTGCTGCTTTGTTAAAGTCTCTACTGCTATTGACACACTGGTTAGAGAACATGGGTGATTCTAAAGATAAATCATTAAAGACCAGCAACATGTGCACCTCAAAACCCATGAAAGACTTCACAGAAGCTTGTGTCAGTAAACAAAACGGGCTAAATTAGGGTATGATAGGCGGTGGAATAAGACTAGAGTAAATATTTTGGGCCGTTAATTAAAGTGAGGACTGATCAGCCATGGGAATGAAAATGACCATAATTTAGCCCTGAAATATGAAAAGGTTCTTTTTAAAATAAATTACCTCAGTATTTATAACTTTCTCCCCTAAAAAGACGTTACGCATCTAAACAAAAAAAAGCGTTTTTCCCGTCTCCCATGGCTGTGCACATCACTGGCGTCATTTGAACTTGTCGTCTGTGGGGGCGGACTTACTGGAAACACTCTATGGAAATTGTGCTCCGCCCCTTTAATGCAGCTTTTTAAAACCCTGATGTCCAGCTTGTCTGTACTTGATTATTTGCCGTGAAGAATAGAGAAGGCTAATCCAGTTTACATTAACCTTAAGAGTAAAATGTATCAGTTTTTAAAGTGGGTTCCTACAATAAAAAAAAATTAAAAAAAATGTGAGATTGCATAATGTGATTCAGAAGCAGAAATAAGTAGAGTACTGAACATTCGCTTGGTTTTCGGAGAGTATTTTGTAGATATTAGGCACTAAACCAAATTAATGGACACAATTATCTGTCATTTTTTTTCTCTAATTGGTGTTGCATAATAAAGAAAACATATTTTGTGTTATTTGCTAAATGCAATTAGAAATTGTTTTTGCAGATGCTCCTTTTGTATTAAGCTTCTCCCCATTATTTATATTATATAGGTATTATTTATTTATTTATTTTTTAAATAAAAGACTTTTCAATCTTTCAGGCTATTTTTAACGCCCAGAAGACAAGCGTTCCTGGGGACCTCATTCCAGTTCCAGGAGCTACAGAAAAGATATCCTTTACTTTGCAAATTAAGGATGATATATTAACTACGGTATGTTGTCTTTATGACGTTTGCAGTTCAAGGTAAGCTTAATCACACATTTATGGCTGCTGGATTCAGTTCTCATCTGATGTAGGAAGTCTTTATTTGCCTGCAGATGGGAGGTAAAGGTCTCGTCATCAAAGACCTACATAAACACTCCTGAACGGAAGGCAGAGCAGCCAGGCAAAGCTAAAGGTCTCCTCTGTAATAAAATGCTGAGAGATGCACCTAGTAGAAAGCAACCAAACCTCCCGGTGGCCTCACTGCCTCACTCATTTCCCAGAAGCAAGCGCTTTGATTAACTTTTCTCCTTTGAACATGTTCATCCAATCAGGAGCTGATCTGAAAGCTCTGTGTTGGTCTGTCTTCGGTGACAGGCGCATGATTTAAGTTCCTCATGTGGGTAACATTTCGCAGCATGTGACTAGCTCTCTAAATAACTTCCTTAACTTGAAATAAAACGTGGCACTGACCAGGAGCGTCAACATGGCAGAGCTGAGAAAACTACGACGCCAGTTCATCAGTTACAGCAAGATGCACCCGACGGAGAACACGTCACAGATTGCCAACATGTTTGTTCAGTATTTAAATAAGGGTCTTCATTAAATTAAATAAAAAAGCTGAGTGGGTTTTTGTTTGTTCCCTGACAAATACAGATATTTAGGTGAGTTTTTGTGTCACTTTCCTTTTTTTTTTTATTTACAACGAGATACAAATGATCTTGATTACTTCAGTTTATGTACTAAATTTAGCTACACGGCCTAATTGTCCGCTATCATTCGGATGATGGCATTAAAAGCTAAATTAAACACAAAACACATCATTAAATAATCATAAAAACATGTGAGACAAAGTAGGACATGTTGGAGGCGGAGATGCACAACAAACACTTTAAAGTATATTTATTCACTTTTCTAGATCTACTTATTCCTGTTTGGGATGAATAAGGTTGTTCACCTATTTATGTTCACTAGAAGATTTTTTTTAATTATTATAACACTTTGAGGTGTTTTTTTTTCAATCTGAGTTTTATTTTTAAATACATTTATCCAGATTAGTTTAAACTACATACCTTTGGTCAATTTACCATTGGAAGTACTTTGTTTTTTAATTTGAAAATATGGATTTTAAACTAAATGGATCAATAGGAGATGCTTCTGCATAGTGTGTGCATTATACATTATTTGGATTCCTGTGTTGAAATCCCTTTAACATCTTTTTAGTTTTCATATTAATCCATGGGATAAGAAAATGCTTCTTATTCACATGTCAAATATGATTATAGATTATATTGAAGTTCTTTTAAGCACTCGATGAAAGATTTTTTTTATGCCATATTGTCAACATTATTTTAATTGAAGCATTTTTTTCCCCTCAGCAACAAGCGGCTGCATTGACAATAGCGGTAGAGAACAGTCTATGTCCCCATCCTAGCCTGGAATCCATTAATAGTTGTCCTTATGATGGGAGATGACCCCCCCCCCCCCCCCCCCCCCTTTTTTTTTTTTTTTTTTTTTTTTTTTTTGCAGTATAAAAGTAAACCTGAAAGGATTAAGTCTGGCCTAGCTGCAATATAAAAAAGGAATTCTAAACAAAAGCTATTTGCTGTGTACTGGTAGCATCTATTACGCTGTACCTTTTCTCTCCTTTTTTCCTAGTAAGTTAAGATATGACATGATATATATATAGATAGATAGATAGATATAAATGTATATATGTATTGATTGACTGACTATTGATTTCAGAGTGGAAAAGTTTACTCGTTACATCAGCACAAATAGTCAAAAAGAAGAAGGTGCATAGGGTATATACAGTGTGTCCACATATGTGTATAACAGCTGAAGTCTCTTATTTAGCTCATTATGTTTATTTGTATTTAAATAAATATACATAGTGAGAGAGAGATGGTAGACCCTATCAGGAAGTTGGAAACAAGCCTTTATCTAGTAATCAAATAAAATGTTCAGATCAATGTTGTAGTGTTACTCTGTCAAAATGAACTTTTCTCTGTGACTTCCTGAATCTATAACTATCGTATCAGAAACAGGCCGCAGGCTGAGGAGCAGAAAGGAGAGGATGAAAGGACACAGGAATTTGGATCAAACAAAATCCAGCAATCTAGCAAAAATTGGTTCAAAAATCGTCATGATATGGGTCCGAGCAACATCTAGATTTGGTTGAGAAGCGAAAGGTGAAAAGCCGTACTTTTCAGAACGTTGAAAAGGATTAAAATGGGACAAAATCAGACCGAACAAACAGCCCAATTATCTATTTCTGGACTAAATCAAGACTACGATGGACCGACAAGAGTTGCCCAAAAACCAATGACTAAATGATGTCTGGTGTTTGGAGAGAAAGATGTGCAAATAGAAATCGACAGCTTTTTCCTTTTGATCCATCTACGTGAAATGTTACCATTGAGTGTCTTGTGCTTTCAGTGTGTTAGAAGGATGGCTGTGTAACAGCAGCGGTAGCTATATTCATTTGCCCTGTAATTTTTTGTCAAAACTTGAATTGGCGTATTTATTTATTTATTATGCCCCTCATAATGGATGTAAATATGTGGCACCACATCCATTTAAATTTAAAGAAGTTCTTTGGTTCAGGAATCTTTAACCAATAGGATTCATAAGTAGACCTAGTTGAGTAAAGTTCCCACTGAATGTGAGTTTTTATATGTCAGAAATAGGAGCAAATTTCACTATTCCTCCTCTAGACATAAATATTCTGCAATGTACAATAACAATGAGGTTTGAAAAAAAAAAGTTCTTATGTCTCCGCTTCATTGAACAAAAAGTTAACCACCTTAAAATATTTTCACAAGTTTAATGTAATATGAATGAATATAAACCTAAAAGATTTAACAAATATCAGTTATCTATAAAAAGATAAGGTATTTACAGAGTTGTGTTGGTTATTGTCTGTGTTAAACATTGTTTTTCTTCAGACCGACAGCAGTGCCAAAGATCCGATCCCAGTGGCTGAAAAAAGGAGCATAGTTGCTGCTCGGCTTCTGATGGTGCATGTCGTGAGCTGGGGCTCCACCCAGCAGACCAAAAGGCACCAGGTGGTTGAGGGTCCAAGGCAGGTCGTAGCCTATGTGGTCTTCCACAGACATCCCGATGCTGAGAACTGTAATGCACCATGTGCTCAGTGGGTGACACTTCAAAAGAATTGGGTCCAGGTTGCTCCAGAAGCCCACAGTCATCAGTTCTGGGATGCTGAGCTGCTCTGTGGACCAGGAGAACGGTGCCTTGTATTCGTGGTGAACTGCATGCACCCAGCGGTAAAGCTGGGGGTTCTTGTGATGCAAAAAGTGCCATATGAAGTACTGGGTGTCAAAGAGGAGCAGAACAGCCAGTCCCTCAGTAAAAACCTGATATAATGTGGGAGCATCTTGCGGCAGGGTTGGTGTTGGAAGTATGAACATGCCAATTATAACAGCTGGTAAAACAAAGAAAACGTGGTTATACAGACATGTCATGAAGCTCTTGGCCATCATTCCCAGTGTTGGCCTCTTCTCTGGCTGGATCTTGTACTTGTGGAATAAAGGGAGCCTCTCCCCCAAAAGGTCCAGCACAGCAAAAGGGAAACTGAAGAAAATGTAGCTGGAGAAAGCAAGGATGACTGGAAAAAAGGGAGATGAGACAAGAGACATGTGGTGATGAAGCAAATGATCCCAGAGTGGCTGCAGCAGATTGTATGATGCCCAGGAGTGAGGGGGGCTCAGGGAGAGTCTGCTGATATTCAGCATCTTTCATTTGACGGCTGCCGCTGCTAATCGAGATAAGATCCGGCTTTATATAGTGGGGATCAACAAAAGGGACTTTGCTCTTGGTAGGAAGAAAACACGGAAACAGCAGCTTTTCTCCCCCACAAGAGTTCAATGTGTGCTAAAACATACCAACGTAAGATTAACAAAACCTCTCAGTGGGTTTATTTCACATGAAACAAAGAATTTAAGATTAGAAGGGAAAATGCATAGTAAATACAAGCCATTTATACAGTTAAGATATTAATAATGTGAAAAAAATCCTTGGTTTACTGGTTCTAATCCGTCCTTTAACAGATTTTATAAATTGTTAGGTCCTGCCATGGGAGGAAACAATGACTCAAGTACATCCATAGAACAAATTATGAAACCCACAATACACAGTATTAACCTATTTTCATGACAGCACCTAGAAAGGAGGAGGAATAAGTGAATTTGCACATTAATGTCATGGAAATTCCAGCCGGGGAGAACAGCAAAACTGTCAGAGGTTTTCCTCCTCTTTGCCTGTAGTTCTCTGGGTTTGGGGAAGTTGTGTGCCTCCTATTGTTGGTCCCTGAAAGGCCGCTGAGAGGTATGGTCAGGTCATGTAGATTTGTATGAAGAGCTATACCGAAACTGCTGGATCCAGGATGCATTTGACGTGATTTATCAAAAGACATATAGCTTTGACTGCAGTGACACCGAGTTTGGGTATAAAGGCAGAAATATTAGAGTGATGGAAACTGGAATGTAAAGAATTTAACCAGAATGAAATAAAGGTGTTCAACAAAAATTAGAGCTATTTTCCTCTGCTCGAGTGAATGAGCTCCTTTACTAACTCCCACCTGCATGTCCCTGTATAAACCAATGGTCTCCACATGAGGGCAACACACACACACAGACTTTGCTCACCGTCGCCACCTTACATGTCTTTTATACTCGTTGATCAATTAAGACTGCACCCTCCCATAAACCTTGGGTCCAAGCTAAAGTGCAATCTTCACCGAACTTACATTGCACAAAAAGTAGACTACCTGCCATAACATGGCTGTCTGAGCATTTGCAGAAAATAATCTGAGCCAAAGATTCCTCAGCTAGATATGATGTCCCTAATTATGTCAAATAGCAGTTTACCCTTTGCTGAAGAAAGCACAAAGGTTTTTTACTTGGCATCATTAGCGCTCCCAATTGGTAGAATTATTAGACAGCAAGGAATTAATTTCCATGCTGATTAAACTCAGCTACATCTGTCTATAAATCCAGATGAAGCAAAACCATTACATAAACTACAGGCATGAATTGAAGACATAAAAACCTGGATGACTTTCTGCTTCTGAATGCAGACAAAAGAGAAGTTATAGTCTTTGTACAAGAGGTTTTGGAAAAAGAAGCTGATTAGTCAGTCACTTCATTTGAATGGGATTAAACTGATCTCAGAAAATAAAGTACAAATTCTTGGTGTTATTTTATGATCAGGACCTGTCTTTTAAATCCCACATCGAAGAATTTTCTAGAATGTCCATCCATACATGTATCTATTTTCTCCCGCTTAGTCCTGTCAGTCTCTGTGGTCCTGGTGCCTATCTCCAGCAGTCTCCGGCTGCAGTATTTTGGATCAGATGGATCAGTTAGTAAGGAATTACATTAGTCCATCCTTAAAGTAATAAATGCATGGACTAGTTTCTTAGCATCACCCCTGGATAAGATATTTCTATATGAACTATTCTGATGATGAGGGCTGCATGGTGTCCCGCAGTGGGTAGCACGGTTGCCAAGAACATTCTGGGTTCAATTCCTGGCCTGGGTCATTCCCTATAGAGCAGAGGTCTTCAATGTTTTCCAGGCCATTGACCCCCAAACTGATGGTGGGATGAAGCGGGGACCCCCTAATTATATATATTGTATGAAATTGTGTTATATCAAACTGTACAGTCATTCATAGACCAAACCAAACTAAATTTTGCTGAACAAAATGCTGGACAGTCTTAATAAATCATTATGAAACAGCCACATTTGTACATTACAAACAGGACAGGCCCAGCAACTGTGGGTTCATGCTGGTCGCCTTCCAGCTGTGTACTGCTTGCTTTAAGGCTATCAACAGTTTCTTTAAGATTTAGGTCAGCAGTCCGAAATATTGGCAGTATACCTACAGTAACTAAGCATTGCGTGCCAAAGTGACTCCAGCAATCTAAGTCACTGTTTACACCCTAATCCAGGTATAAACAAGGGTCAGATAAAACCTATTTAATCTGTCAAACGAAATCTGGAGCAGCAAATAAAGAAGTTACGGGTACCCCTTTAACTTTTCAATGTTATCACATTACATCCACAAAATAAAGCATTGTAGTTTAGACCCTCAATACTTTTTAGAGCTACATTTTAGTCTAATTAAAGCTGCATGTTTTGGTCTGTATCTATACTGATTTTGCTCATCTTAAAGCTCCTGTCTGTTCTCATTCCTCTTAACAAAATTCCTCAAACTTAGATGGAAAGAGTTTATAATCATTATTCTCTGTGTGGATCCAGGTCTTGCATGCATTTAATAAACAGCAAAACTTCAGGTTGGAGTCTGTTCCTAGGTAAGTCCCATTTCTAAATAAGAAATAGCAATTGTTTTCCCTTTTGTCTTATCCATCTTTGAAAGTAAAGTGTCCATTTTAAAGCTTCAGACTTCATAAAAGGTGCATCATGTTAAAAAGACAAACATTTTTAAACTCCATTTATATCTAATATTTACAATTGGCTTATTAGCTTGGTGCTTATATTTGTAAGTCTCTTATAAGGGGACCCTTATATGTCTGTGTTTGTCTGGAGGAAATTTTCCCAAAAAAAACAACAAAGCAATCAGACCATCACACTAAATGATCAACATGAGATTTATTGTAGAAGAGGGCAGAATAACCAAAACCTTGTGGTTTTAAGCCTTGATTTTTTTCCCCACAGCAACAGAAGAAAAAATAAAATCCTTTGGGAATCACTTTTTCTCACTGGCAGCCTTCCTTGAAACCGTTTTGTTGGAGTTGGCGTATTTCTGTCGATCATTTCTGAAGAGAGAGGAGAGCAAACCTTTTAGGCACAGAAGAAAACGAATGCCATCATCTGATAGAAGTTTAAAGCATATGGTCTTATACCTGCTCATTTTGACTTTATTTCTACATCCCAGCCCTCCCTCCCAGTGGCTGGTGCGCATGCCTCTTGTCATCATGCTCCCACAGCTGATGCAGGGTTTTCCATTACCATAAGGCTGCAACATCAAACACAGTAAATTTAAAAACAGCAACGGTACGTGTGCATAAGTCTGATAGATATGGAGACGTTATCAAAGGACAGATTGATTCTCTACTTGTTCTTTGGCACAGAATCCACAGATCATCCTTGTGGCGAGTTCCATGGGGTGGTCCTGATTCTCGTCATGGCACACATCACAGGCATACGCCCGACCACAGCAGGGAAACCTGGAATTGTAAGGGGGGAGTGTTTCCCAGAGCTCTGATTCAGATGTACAATATCAAAATAAAGATCCCTGCATGGAAGATACCTGAGCCAGCGATGGCTTTGTTTGTAATGTTTGCAAGTTCCTTTATCCGGCAGTGGCTTCCCTTTTTGCACTGCCGGATCTCTAATTGTTTTGAAGCTGACGGCGCTTGAACCTGCACCAACAACCGGGAGGAATAATTAGCTGCATCGGAAGTAACAGCGGTCTAAAAAAATACTAATGCTAAGACTTGAAATTTTTTCCACACTGAGAAGCTTTATGAAATTTTTGTTTGAAATCCAAGTAGGGCAGCATTCTTGTAAGATTTTAAAGCTTTTGCTGATCCATATGGAAGCAAAGCGGGCTCTGACCTGTTTTGTTGGAAGAGCGGGGTGGGATGTACTGGAACCTGGTGCTCTCAGCCAGGAGGCTGAGTTTGCTGTGGCAGTTTTCACAGTTAAGCTCCTTTGTTTGTCCGTAGAAAACGCTCTAATGAAAAAAAAAAAAAAACAGAAGTTAATATCACAAGAGTTCAATTAGATGTGTTACAGCTTTATTTCATGGTGTTAATCACCTCCACAGGAACCTCCTGAGAGCAGCTGAGGCATCCCACAGAGAGGTGGCAGTCCTGAAGTACGAGGTCAGAGGCTGTGGCGTTTTGAAGGTCTAAATATCCCAGGACATCGCTATAATGGTGGATCATGCAGGGCCTGAATGCAGCATTTATACCTGCATTGCACTTCTCACACTGAGCTGAGCAGGTTGTCCTTCCTGTAAGTGTCAGATCTGCAGTCACCTTACACCTGAATCCAGCAAAAAATCAGCAATTAGTTACATTTATCTCCCAGAATTAGCTCCAGATAAATCCTTCAGTATTTTTTTTTTTTTTCATATCAGTTACCTATTACACTGCAGACAAACAGTAACCTGGTGAGCAATAACAGTGGCCGTGTTTTCCCCCAGCCTGAGGCCCAGCAGCTTGACCTCTGTGCCTCTGCGAGAATCGCTGATTTTAATGTTCTCCACCAGATGGCTCGCATCTTCCTCCTGCAGCTGACCTTCAGTACGCTGTGTCGATTTCTGCTGCAATATTTGCTCTTTTTCCTCTGATTTCAAATCTTCTGTCTTATCGGCATTTTTACAGGTGTCCTCATCCACAGCAACTCCAGAATCAGGGTCAGAGGCGTCAGTTACAGATACCTTGAGTTCGTGGTACGGGATAAACTGCAGGCCAGCTTTTTCTAAATCAATATCTTTCTTAAGCTAGAAATAAGGCAAAAAGAAAAGATTTACATTTGTTAATCAGAGGTCATTTTTCTTTATGATTTGTATTTACTTTCAGCCATTTAGTAAAACATTTAAAAATGTTGCAAAGTTGCGAAACGTAGGAGAGCTGACCCACAACTGTGGCAGTCAGATTTTCTTCACATACTCAAGGGAGAAAAATGTTTTAAATTATTTGAAAACAAAGCACTTTAAAGACAACAGAAAAATTAGTGCTGTCAATCGATTAAATTTTTTAATCGCGATTAATCGCATCAATGCCTGAG